AATGTGTCTGGTAGCAAGTACTGATCTATGAACAGCAAGAGAAATTGGAAAGAGAGAAAAGTTACTCTGTGCTAAAAAAACTTAGAATTTAACCCAAAATCTTCTAGCAGGTACTGGCATAAATTGCATTTGGAAATATACATAAATTTTTGCTGGTTATTCATAAAAATTTTGGCTGGAGAAGTGTCTAGCTAATACAGTACAGTATCATTTTATAAACTAACAGGAATGGTGAGATTGATTCTCTGGGTGGTTCGAATGAGCTTTTGTTCGTTTTATAATTAAAAAAGTACAGTCTACCACTTGATTGACTGAAATGAAGCTGCCACGGCTCTAAAAATAAGAAAAAATAATTCAAAGGATCATCCTAGACTTTCTCATATTAAGCCGATATAGTAGTACCTTGTAATACTTTACAGAATATAACTCCAATGGGTGCTATAAACCACTCGTCATGTGAGACATCTAATGTAGGTACGTCCCCTAACCCTTTGCAGTTACGTAATCTCAAGCTAAAGGGGAGAGGAGAGAGAGAGTGGGGGGGAGAGTTTTAAAAATGTATTGGTTTTAATCTTGGGCTTACTCTCCAAAAGTTGATATCATGTCAACAACGCGATAATATGGTTTAACCCTATCATTAATCAAAAATAATAAATATTAATGTACTTCCTTAAGCTACTGTACACATACATGTACAAAGTTTGAGCTGATTCCAACTTAAATTTTTCAAGTTATGGCCATTTTAAAAAATGGGCCAAAATCTGAAAAAATCCCTGTACTATAGCCCATGGTTTTTTCAGAAAAATGGCCAAAAAATCACCTCCAATTTTTATTACATTTTCTGATACATATTGATGTCCTTTTGATCCGTAGAAAGTTTGAGCTGATTCCGACTTCAATTTTTTAAGTTATGGCCATTTTAAAAAATGGGCCAAAATCTGAAAAAAATCTCTGTACTATAGCCCATGGTTTTTTCAGAAAAATGGCCAAAAAATCACCCCCAATTTTTATTACATTTTCTGATACATATTGATGTCCTTATGATCCGTAGAAAGTTTGAGCTGATTCCGACTTAAATTTTTCGAGTTATGATTAAAATACCCTGTACTGTACTATAGTACATACTTCAATGTTAAGAATTGTTTCTGACATGGTTTGTTAAGAACTTTGCACAACTTCTCTGCAACAGCAAGTCTAGACAACCAGAAAAAAAAAATAATAACCTTCAAAATAATGATAATGATAATAATAATAAACTCTACCTTTCTTTTAGAGGTTTCATTGCATAACTCACGTCGTGTGAGATGGCAATGATGTCCATAATGTACACAACA